CAAGTGAAGTGGAATCTTGTTATTTTTTGTTTCATATCGGATTTATGGAGTGGTACGACTTTTGTCGTGTTAATGTAGGTGAACAGTGATAGACACAACTTGTTATATGATGCATGATGTACATGGGTACATACATACAATAAAAATGTACTGGGGTATATTAAAGCAGAATCACAACTTGATCTAAATAATTATAATGATAAATAGTAAAAAGTTTACAATATATTCTCTGTAATATATCCTTCATTTGTACTAATATAGGTTTAACTAAGTCTCTTGTAATTTGGGCTTCTCCATCATCGGTTGTCCTTCCTCTTCATTCACTTGTGTTCCCTTCGGGTCGTTCCACTCCGCCTTCTCAGCAGTTGCAAAGATCACGTAGATGAGATTAGTCACGAGGTATATACCCGCTGCCACGAAGAACACCTGCCGCCACAGGTATACGTCATTCTGGGGAAAATAAAGTGGGTTAGAAGATACAGACAGGGATTAACGACCGAATACTGAAAGGCTACTCAATTTGATGTTGTACTTAAATATCGCGCCATCTCTGTCATTTTAAAAAGAATTTGGTGTGATAGAACTAGATTTAAGCGCGACTTAAAGTAGCCTTTGAGTTTTAAAAAAAAAGAGAAACAAAACGATGGTATGGATGTAACACAAAATCAAAATCATATATCTTCAAACTCAAGGCTATGAATTAACAGTTAACAAACCGCATATTCAATTGAATTAAAAAGAAATCAATATACAATTATATTTGTCACTCACGACATCAGTAAGTATGAATCCAGTAATGAGAGGAGCGATGGACGCTCCGATGTTAGACGTGAAGTTGCTAAGACTCATCATAGTGCCAGCGAAGTTGGGGGAGATGTCGATGTGGTTGATCTGAAAGATATTCATAGAAGAAACAAAATAAGTATTAGATAGATAAACATTAACAATTGAGATTAAGACCAGGCTGTTGAATAAACTGTTTATAAATTATGTAACTTATGACATTCTCCTAAATGCCATTTTTCAATCAAGCAAATTACATGCGACAATTTTAATAAACTTATTAAGTTAAGTTGCTTGCAGCAACTACTTACTATTTTTTTTTAACTTTCTACCTGAAATCCTAGATGAGCTGATATTTTGAAGGCACATGTGAACACCAATATAGATTCCACAATTAACATGTCTTTTGGTGCATACGCCAGCGCTATTAGTCCCAAGGCAGCTGGTACATTACCTAAAAATATTAATAGTACAGATAAATCTCTGAAAGTCAAGTACGAGAGTCAGAAGAAAGAAAGAAAGAAAGTGTTGTAAGTGCTTTTCGTAAAAACTTACCTAAAGAGTTGGCAAACTTCCTTGTGTTTGTAGGACTAAGAATGTTCTTCACAATCAGCATATCAGTCATCCAGCTAAAGAAGAAGTTGGTGAACCACATCACTAAGAATGGGAGAGCTGTTAGTAAGCCATTCTGAAAGAATAATAAATAAATATTTAAATGTCAGACTAAGATGGAAACTACAATATATATATATATAGTTAAGAAGAAATTCAACAGTTACCGCTTTTATATTAACTCCCATAATTTTGTCTAAATAAGCTGGAACTTCTGAGTAAAGAACGAGTTGTCCCCACGTTGTTCCAATATGAGCAAGTATGATGGCATAAACCCCTTTGTGACTTAGAATTTTAGTCCAAGGCACTGGCATTTTCTGGAACAAAATAATTTTGAATGAGTATACCTGAACGTGGTACGAAAATTATTTTGTAATTACTTGTTAATTTACTTTGACTTCATCTCTGGTTCCTAATTCATCTTCGATATATTTTCTTTCGGCCATAGATATTTTCTTATGTTTGGCTGGAGTGTCAGCAGCTAACCAGAACAGGAGGACACCGATAATTCCTGAGAGTATTCCGTAGAACCTGAATATTCCAGGCCAGCCGAGACTAGATGAAGATATAAAACCTGTCATTGGTAGTCCAAAAACTGTTCCTAGTGCTTGGCCTGAAAAGAGAAAAAGTAATTTAACAACATCAACTCTAAATATCACAACAATGATAGTCACGTGTAGTACTCACGTGAAAAAAACTAACCTCCATAGACGAACGCTGCAATTCTCCCCCTCTCTTGTAGAGGCGCCCATTTTCCTAATGATGTATGAAGTCCTGGTACTATGCAGGCTTGGCTCAGACCTTGTATTACTCTACATACTGCTGTACTTATCCAACCACCCTGAAAACAAAAATATTAATAAAAGGAGCAATTAAACCTCAAACATTCAGCAACAATCTCCAAACCGTTTACTAAGTGTGAAGATTTTGGCAAACCTTTTGTAAAGGAGGTCAATTAAATAGCCCAGTAATGTACTTTGCATAATACCTATCATGTAATGTGTGTTTCACTTACATAATAGGCAGCTAGAGGCAGCAGTATGGAGACCACGCAATTGATCATCATGGCTCCAGTCAACAGATACCTGGCTCCGAACCTGTGCGCCAGTTGGCCACCAGGGATCTGCAGCAGCATGTACCCCCAGAAGAATGATGCTATCACTGCATCTTGTGTCTTTTTGTCCCAATTGAATGTTGGGTACTGAAACGTCAAGAGAATTTTGGTTTGTAATTATAATTATTTTTATAGCAGATGCTACAATAATGCCATCATATAAAGCTATTTTGTTAAACAGATTTTCAACTTTAACATCATCTGTCATAACGTCGAAAATTTATTGAAGAAAAATAGTTTAGAAGTAGCATTCTTTGCATTAAAAATAGATTCTATCAAAGAATTTTGACAGTTCAGTGATAAAATTTCATATGGCGCTGACTTACAAATATGTGCAATGTAGTTGAAATGCAATCTAACCTTATATAATAACGTACACTGCATTACAGACCGTATTCGGCCTGATAATTATTATGACGAGTAAACATGCACCATGTTTTATCTTTACGTATATTTAGAGTGCGTTGTAAAAACGGAAGCCACTAATACTTGAGTATACGAGTGTACTATTTCATTAAAGACTCAATATACATTTTTATTCCATTCAAAAATTACACAAGTTCTTTAAAATCACTCACTTATCTGTATAAAGTAAATGCAGCCTGTCATGTCATTTCGATATGCCTAAAGTTACATAATAGTGTAAAATCAAACGAGATGCTACTTACAGGCGGTATCAACATCAAAGCATTCAGAATTCCTTCTGGTTTAAACTGGTTCTCTGATTCTTCTGATTCCAATACAACACTAACATTGGCTGCAGTTTTGCCATATTTTGTCATAGCTACTAGAGATACGCCCATACAGGCTCTCATGCTGTAAGCTACTGTTAAAGTACAAAACAGTATAAAACATTGCTGATGTCTGTAGCCCCATCCTGAAACTGAAAATTAGTGGATTGAAAAAACCTTGCTAAGATAATGAACCACTTACAAAACTTGCTGAATGCTGCATCTAAATCAAATAATCAGGTTTGGGTATAACAACTCGTTTGCATTAATTAGCTAACTCCCAGTTGAAATGTAACCGTAAACTCAATGTGTTAAAACGTGTAGGATTGCCTTTACTTACACATAATAGTTCACAAAGTTCAATACAATCTAAGTCTAATTTTAACTTGCAAACAAATCCAAATTTAAGGTCCAAATCCAGACGTTACTCAATTAATCTATGGGCGATAAACCAAATAGTTTGAAGTTACGCGTAGGGCTGTGACATTGGTAAACTTTTCAGACACATTCCCAATTAATCACAAGTTTAACTCACCTTTAAAATTACTTTTTGATCCTTTCTGCAAAACTTCCAGTTTCTCCATGTTCATTTGTTTATATATTTTTATCTACTACAGTAGCTGTTCCAGATCTTGTTTTATCATTTACCACAAGCTTTACTCCTACATTTACTTCATTCTTTTATTTCGTTTTTATTACACTGACTACTGAATTATCTCTAAGAAGCGACTTTATTACATTATGTTCATTAATTTCTAGTAACTCTGCAGTATTTGCTTCGAGATCTGTATCAAACTGACGTACAAAGAACGCTTCTTTCACGTCGACGTTGAACAATCAGATAATTGTAAAAGTATTATTATTGTGTGCATTAGTGTTATAATTATCTTATACAAATACTATATTATTATGTAGCAAGTTCAATGCTACTGTGTATAGGTTTGTCGTTTTATCTTTAAGATCTTCATTCAAATGCGTAGTAAAATTTTCATCTAAAATAACTTGCGGGTTCTTATCTTATTAATTGTACTGGTATCCTTGATGTGAAGGAAATTATCGAGAGGAAACTGGGCTAATTCTAATTATAAGTTTAAAATTGACAATTTGCATTGAGCAAGCGTGCGATATATATAATATGCTATGCATAATGCTCAAAACCTTCTCGGTTCGAACAGAGGCCTTTGGTCAGCAGTGGCCACTTATTAGGCTGTTGATGTGATACTATGTATCTTAGATGGTGTAGTAAAATAATAAGGGACACTTTAGTCTTATAATTGTGTTTATTAGAATTATTACAGAGTATTAACTAAATTCTAACGTTCTTAATTCTAGTCAAACTTATTTCTAGTAAAGTTATAAATCGATTCTTTAAAATCTCTGGAGAGGTAAAACAAATTAAAATGGACATATCACGAAACAATCACATAACACATGTTACAGACTACTTGTATATTAAACTAAAACGTGGCATTATTCTCACTATCTTAAAAATTACTTAAGCAAAAATAAAACTTAAATAAATCTTCCACACAATATGAACGATACATTTAAACAAATTTTACCAGACAGGTAGTATCACAAACATTCTATTCGAGCTTTTCTCGATCCTAAAGTAATGGAAAAGAAAAATCATAATCAATTCGCACAATCAACAGCACCTAGCTTCACCTAATTTCACTGACGGACTGACTGACAGACTATTATTTATTTTATATTTGTTGACGTTTCAAAAGTACTAAACTATGGTTTAATTGAAATAAATGCTTTGACTTTGACTTTGACTTCAAATTTAGATTTGGTGCAATCATATTAATTATATTATACTATACAGTTTGTTTAATCCTCAAACATGATTCGACGACATAATTATATTCTCTGTATCGCTTCTACCTTCGCCTCTCTGCTTTGCATCCTATCTTTTCATTTCAGCCTGCACATCAATTTAATTTACACCATTTTTGAATTTGCCCATCATAGGTACGCTCTCTTCATCAACTTTTTCGGATTTTTCTTCGGGTGGGTCATTCCATTCAGCCTTCTCAGCAGTGCCAAGTACAAGATAAACTATATTTGTAAAGAAGTAAATTCCAGCCGCTACGAAGAATATTTTTCTCCAGAGAAGTTCATCAGTCTGAAAGAAATTACCAGTATTAAAAGTTAATCAAATAATCTTCGAAGGTAAGAAGTGGTTTTTATTAATTACTAGCGACCCGCCCCGGCTTCGCACGGGTGCAATATGCATGTATTATACATACAAACCTTCCTTAAGAATCACTCTATCTATTAAAAAAAACCGCATCAAAATCCGTTGCGTAGTTTTAAAGATCTAAGCATACATACGGACATACAGCGAAAGCGACTTTGTTTTATACTATGTATTGAAGTTACAATTTTATCATTAAAAAAGTGTTATGAGTAAATGTTGAACTTACCACGTCAGTAAGAATGAACCCAACGACGAGAGGTGCCATGGAGGCACAGGAATTGGATACAAAGTTACTGATGCTCATCATAGTGCCAGCGTAATTTGGAGAAATATCAATATGGTTGATCTGTAACAGCAATGTAATGGTTCCATTTTAGTTGATTTACAATAAATTTGGGATAGAATACAATCTTTAAAAGACATTTTCTTACGTGGAATCCTAAATGTGATGATATTTTGAACCCACAGATAAGTATTAGTATAGTTTCTATGACGTATATATCTTTAGGAACATAGGCTAACGCAACCAGACCAATGGCTGCAGGGAAGTTTCCTGAAACCAATAAAAATGTTTAGCATAACAACTATTTTCTTAATACTTAACGAAAAGTTTTTAACAATAACTTTCACTATACTTAGCTTAGCACTTACCTAGTGAATTAGCCAGTTTCCTAGTATTTGTGACACTCAGAATCTTCTTCACAATCAGCATATCAGTCATCCAGCTGAAGAAGAAGTTGGTGAACCACATCACTAAGAATGGGAGAGCTGTTAGTAAGCCATTCTGTGAAAAAAAATACATCGACCAGATGATTTCTTTTTTCTTTAATTTTGAGGCAATGAAGTTTCAATTGAAATAATATTTACCGCTTTGATGTTGACTCCCATAATTTTGTCCATGAAGGCTGGAACTTCTGAGTAGAGAGTGATCTGGCCCCAAGTCTGTCCAATGTGTGAGATCACAATGGCATACATACCTTTATGACGAAGTATTTTTCCCCAGGGCACTGCTGCACGCTGCAAATACATTAAAATGTTTCAATAGTATACAATTTAATTTATTCATTAAACTTTCGATATAAAGTATTGTGGTTAGTTCCACGTACAGTGTAATTTATAGCCCTGTCTGCGTTGCGAAACAGTAAAAGCTTTTAAATTAAATTACGAATTGCAAATAGCTACTTTTTTACAATGTCACTATTTATAGAGGTATATTATATGTATATTTACCTTAGCCGCTTCTCCCGTTCCCAGTTCATCTTCTATGTACTTTCTTTCATCAGCTGATATTTTAGGGTGCTTCGCCGGAGAGTCAGCAGCCATAAACCATAGCAATATGCTTACAATACCAGACACAATTCCATAGAACCTGAATATGCCAGGCCAACCCATGGGTGATGAAGCAATGAAACCAGTGATAGGAAGACCAAATACTGTGCCTAACGCTTGACCTGAAATTTTTTAAACCGAGTTGTAATAACTCAGAAGTTCTGAGTATGCTAAATAATTTATACGGATAACTAAAATACCTCCATAGACGAAAGCAGACATTCTTCCTCGCTCATGTAGAGGCGCCCACTTGCCCAAAGCAGTGTGTAGTCCAGGCAATATGCAGGCCTGACTTAGACCTTGTAGAACCCTGCATATTGCCGAGCATATCCAGCCACCCTGATATATTTAACAAAACAGTTAAAAAAAATCTTGCAAGCATACTTGTCATTACTATAACTTTAATGTTTAAGACTTATTTATCATGAATTTTCTTTGAGGCATTTAAGGAGTTTCCACTCACGTAATATGCAGCTATTGGGAAAAAGATGGAAACTAAGCAGTTGATCATCATGGCGCCACTGAGCAGGTACCTAGTCCCAAACCTGTGCGCTATCTGTCCTGCCGGGATCTGCAACAGCATGTAGCCCCAGAAGAACGAAGCTATCACTGTGTCTTGAACTTTTTTGCTCCAGCTAAATGCAGGGTACTGTGAACATAATATAATAATATTGTTAAAAAAAAGTGATATTGAATCTAACATCACTTATAATGAGCTGAAGATTAAGGTAAGAGTATATTTTACTAGTAACAAACCTGAATTTTTCCAATTTGCTATCAATATTTCTGGTATTCATAATAATTGTGTATCAAAAAATTATAGCTATTATTTTTGGTTCTCTAATAGACCAGATATTGAATGTATTCATTATTTTTCTAAACATTTCTTAATAGGCAACATTTTTTCATGAAACTTAACACCGAATATATATATGTTGTACTTACTGGTGGTACAATCATTAGAGCATTCAAGAAGCCGTCGGTTTCAAAGTTACTGGCATCTGTAACGTTGGTGCCGTTACCCTGTACATGATGGTCTGTCATGGCTACTAGCGCTACCCCCATACAAGACCTCATGCTGTACGCTATGGTTAACGTCCAGAACAGAATAAAACACTGCTTGTGTCTGTAGCCCCATCCTGAAACTAATGTTGAAAAAAATTGTAACTCTATTTTCCTAGAGTACTTTAAGCTTTTCGAGTTGTATTCATTTTGATTGATTTATGTGTTATGGTTAGTGAATTAGGGCTTTTGTAGGGTTCATTTTATTATGAGAGAACAGAGATAAACAGCACTCACATTATATCCCCAAAACATGTGTTATGTTACTAAACAAATATCACAATCATAAATATTTTGCGTGTAAGTTTATCCTATTATCAAGCCCGGTGTCCCTAAAGAGTAGTGTTTGTGTTGCTTATTCCAAGGCTGCATTTATTCACAGTATTTTTGTATATATAAAACAGTAATGATATTCAAACAATTCCATTTTAAACCAAATGGATTAACCATTTATTTTAAACTGTTTAAAGGAACAAAAGAATTTTAAACGTGAATCTATTTGCACGTGATGTCTTACCAAAGAAGGTAGGTATGCACTAAGCACTATAAAACTATTTATAGCGACATCTTATATTCGAAACCGGAATCTAATAATAAAATAAATATTATTATAGTGTCATCGCCAACAGATGTCACTACAGACATGACTTGTGAAATTTTAGCTTTATGCGAGTTTGTAAAGTGTGCGAAGTTCTTATCATCACTTAAATGGATTGCAAATCTATGATAAGAATGTTTCTTCGTACATCAAGTATAAAAACATGTCATTGTTTCCCATGAAGTTGACAGGACACACGTTTCTATTTTTCAAAAAATATTTGTCAATAGACTCACCCTTGAATTTGTTTTCCGTATTTTCATTTACAACTTCTATTTTGTTCTCTTCCATGATACGAGTAAATAAACAATTCTTGTTACTAACAATTATTATTATAAATTATTTTAGTAAGCACACATGCGCTGTCCCTTTTAATTATAACACGATCCAAATATTTTCACAATATTTTGATTAATTGAAACGACAATAGTACATTTTATATTGTTATATTCAGAATACTGTTAATTTATTATCGATAAAAGTAACTACAAATAGTAAAAAGCTTTGAATGATAATAATAATAATATTTGATTCAAATCAACGATTATCACTGGTCACGTTTGTTCTCATGTTTCTAATTTAGTACTTCTCTTTTAAACTAAAATTGTCATAATATCTGGGGAAAAATTATCTTTATTAGTATCATTGGTATGTACTGATCTGTCACAATTATCTGCATGCAAATACTAGTTAATTTCAATGCTATCATTTAATTTATCACTCTGACTTACTTCTCTCCGTACATTTACGTAACCGACGAACAGAAATGTAACCTTTTCCGGTTGTAACTGGAACATAGTCATTACTATTGTATGGATTTTCTCTTTTTCTTCGTTTTTTAAGGGATCTGTGACGTCGATTGCATTTTTCTGTAAACCTGATACGTCATTAGTTTGGTTTGAAGCTGTAAATGTTTCTCTATCTACGGTTTTAGAGATGTTGTCTTTTGAAGCGTTTGTACCATTGGTCCTTATAAACGGTTATCGTTGTATTTGGTTCCTGTGACCTCCGGTATGTGTGAGTAGAAACAGGACGTTGCACAACATGCTGAAATGAGTACCTAAGATGTTAGTCATAGAACCAACGTGTGCAAAATTATCTCGAATCCCACTTCACAATGTAAATAAAGAAATATTAGTCAAAGTATCACATTCTGATTTTATCTCATTCAACTCATTGCCATATTTATTGTGTCAACATAAAAAAATACAGATTGAAAATATTTAGCTTAGTGTGGTTGGTACAGTGGTTAATTTGTAGGCAGTTTTACTAACTATTTGGGGTTCAATTCTGTCTGGATGACGAGTACTTCATTCGCATGACTTTTTTCAGATATATTGGGGCAGCTTTTAGTGAACTATAATGTTTGTAGTTATATATTTAAAATAATACAAATCATAAAGCGAACCAATTGTTTGGCATTTGTCAGCACAAGTTTATTCTGTGTGGATTTAAAATTTTTCGACTTTGATCTATGTTTTTTTTTCTTACACTCTGACTCTTGAGTGGAACCTTATCATCTGTTCCTAGCAAAGAATATCAATTTACATTTTGTCCTTAAAATTAGTATTACAAGAGTCTAGGCTTAAACTATGACATTGAAACATAAAATAAACAATTTGTTTGTTTATGAAAGTAAAAAGTTTTCAAACAAGTGTCTAAAGTTTTCCTTTCTGTTTGGATGGAAATTACTGCGTTTATGACCTACGTTTACGAGTATTCTCCAGGTAATTATAAAGTTTTTATTGTTACTTTCACTTAATTACTTAACTTCCACGGTTTTAACAGGTCCCTCTAATGATACACTTTTCATATTTATATATATTTTTTAATTTATCTAGGTCAGAGTAATAAACGAATGGTACATGGTGACGTTTTAAATTATCTATGTACTGACATCATTCATCAAATAGAAGAAAATTAAAAAAAACAAAACACATTCGAACAAAGAAAGTTGATCGACTTGTTGTTAACTCAGTCCTGCTAATTTTAAGCACAAAAGCATGCTTCGATTGAGTATGTGTATCGGAATGTTGTCAGATGCTAATTTTGGGCATGCTTGCGAACTGACAGGCGTTCGGTTTCTGATCATTTTTGAGCATGCTCAATAGTAGCTTTTAATCTGCTATTTTAAAGTAGTAGTACCTGAACTATGACTATTGTTAAATAGTTGCATGATAAATGATAAGTAAACTCAATGTTAAATTGTGAGGCCTTTCCTTATAACTAATTTACACCTTGAATTCAAAAATAAAAAATATGAACGATTATTTTTTACTTAAAGAACTCCCGATATTACTTTGTCCCTGATATCTCATTCAGGTCTTCAGCCTTAGTATGTATTGGTAAAGTGCTGCGTAATAAGCTGCTTCGATTTGTTAACTTTATTTTCTTTGGAATAGAATTGAAAATAACGTGGTGTGTTTTTATCCTTTTTTGGATATAATTACTAACCGATTGTTTCTGATACTTACGACATGCATATATACTAAGGAATGACTTGATGGTAATGACGCGTTGTAGGCCCCGTTGACAGCAGAAGTCTAAAAACATAATAAAAAGTAGAAACACAGGTTGTGTCTTATAATTTACTATTTATTTACTAATTAACTAAAGTAAATATAACTATTTTCATGAGTTTGCTATCTTCTTTTTTTCGTTTTTAGTTTCTATTCCTTCCAGGTGTGCATCTGAAAATAAAAAAATAAAGTTAGGTACTAATTTTAATTGTCCAAATTATTCTCATTGGCCACTCAATGAGAATAATTGCCACCCAATGGTTGGCCTGGATTCAATAAAATTCCATGATTTGAACATAAAATGAAATAAAATATATTTACCAATTTGTTCACAGTCGTTCCACGTTTGTGTCTCTGCTGTAGTGGTTAACACATAGATGGCGTTTGCTACGAAACCTGAAGACGCTATTATGAAGAAGATAATTCGCCACTGCGTCTGATTGTGCTGCAAATATGAATACAAATATTATTATTGTTATGTACATAATGTATATAAATTAATACGTTAGTCCTATGTACTTATAGAGAACTTATATCATATTCATTCAAACAAACCAGTTGAGAATAATCTCCTTTCTTTTGGTCTTTTTCGAGAATATCTCTAATAAAGTTACTTAGCTCAATGTAATAAGCTAACTTCATTGAAGATATACTTATAGATTAACAGTAAACAATTTAACAACTTTAAATTATCTTGTATTTCAAATCTCAAAATTTTTTCTTGTAAGCCTGTCTCGAAGGTCGCGCTTACATTTACCTGTCCAAATACTCAGGACTTCTTAAATCTGATATTTTATTTTTTTAAGGGGGGAAAATCATCGAATGACTTCTCCCGCCTGGATGAGACGGGAGGGAGTGTCAGACTCTTACTGACTAAAAACCACCCCGTTCCTACTCCTGCACTTCGACCCGGAGCCCCGATAACCCGTTAAGTTCTCCGCGGCTAGATGTTACCTATGACTACACACAATACTTACAACATCTGTGACGACGTTGGATATAAGTACGGGCAGTAACACGTTGAAGATGTTCATCACAGTGTTGCCGATGGTCATGAGAGTGCCGCTGAAGTTTGGGGCCAAGTCGATGTGGTTAACCTGGAAGTAATAGAGAAATTGAGCTGATATGTTACCATAGTCCAGGTATAAAATTACACAAAAGACCGTAGGCCGTAGACCGTAGACCACATCATCGCTTAACACCAGGCGAGATAATGGTCAAACGTCAACCCATCAAAGATAAAAAAAATGTTTTCAATTTTGTTGCGATTTTCGTTGTACCTACTGATGATTTAGCTTTCAATGAGGTAAAGATTACTCGGTACCAGTCGTATTCTAAACAGGACTAAATTTGTAATATTGTCTGTATACATCTAAGCTATGTAGATGAGGCAATAATTGATAGTGTTCACGAACAGATTGTGCAAGTAGAAATGATTAGGCGAGGCATATTGAACGTGCTTAAATCTGTGATGCAAGTTCAATGTGATATGATGATGTATAGGGTTGTTCTTTCATAATCATAATCGTTCTACAGCAGATGAGGTTATAACATCATGGGATCTAATATAACTATCAAGGTGATACTGACCATCCATCCGACATGCATCGCCATGTGGCATCCCATGGACGTCACCAGACACAGCACCGCCACCACCGTGCTAGTGGTGAATGTGACACATATAAGTGCCACAGCAACTCCTACTTGAGCTGGAATTAATAATACATAGAATGTTAGCATTAACGGGTAGTGAAAAATCATTTAAATATAGTGAATCAATTAATAAATATAGTGTTCGAATTGACAAAAAATAACTAATTCCCAAATAGTAAGAGGCTACTCAAAAAGAATTCGTGGTGACAGAACTATACTTAAACGTGACTTCTAATTGGGAGGCGTGTGAGTATTTGAACATCATTCATAAAGTGAGATGACCTCCAATAAGAGACTGAATGAAACATAAAGTGAAGATTTAGTTCATAGAAGAATTTCAGAAGAATCATAGGTTTGGAATAACAGAAGATTAAACTAATCACTAAAGCATAAAAGTAATGAAAACACTTACAAATACTATTAAACAGTCTTCTAGCATTCTTTACTTGTAGATATTTGTTGTTAGTCAAGTAGTCGGAGAGTATTCCAAATGAGAGGCTCGTGAAGAAACTAATGACGTACGGTAATGATGACAGGATACCACTCTGGAATGATAAATATTTTACTTAGCACTTTTATGACAGAGGTAGGTAAGAGTAAGGTTGGATGTGAAAATGTAAGGCTCAGTGGGGTACTGTTAGACAAAGTTGTATTGAGTAATAAACAAAAATAGATTCAAAATGATGTCAATAAACTGCCCCGACTGCCTCATTAGCCGAGTAGTCGTAAGAGTAACTGCCAGCAGCAGCACGGAGTCTGAAATTGTGTCTGGTATTTGGCAATAGGCTTCTCCCTATTACATGGGACTCATAACTTATATAGTAAAAAGTGGGTGTTACAATGTATAGTGGCATTAAATGCCGTAATGTGGTCCGAGAAAAACCTTCGGGGATAAAAAGCGTGATGTTATATTGGTATGTTATTTGTCATTAAAATAGAACAATGCTCATAGATGACAGTCGGATCATCCAGATCAAGTTTTATTCTTTGAACTTTCGAAAAAGGAAAGATTTAAAAAAATATCTATCACAATATGATATTTTCATGTGTCGGTACGTTTGCAATGTGAATTAAAGAAGCTTAAATAGATCTGAATTATTTCAAAGTTATTGATAACTAAACTTGATATCAACACAACCTGTTAGAATTTTTTGATTTAAATAAATAAATAAACTATAAATCTGAAAATCATCCATTTATAGTTATATCACAAATTGCTTTGAAGACGACTTACACTTTTAACATTGATGCCGAGGATATAGTGGATGTAGGAGGGGACTTGTGTGAAGAAGAACACGAAGCTGACTCCGCTCCCCACGTGTGTCACAAGCACACCCCACACGTGTTTTGATGTTAGGATCGCCTTCCACGGTATACTTAATTTCTGTAAATATTATTAAAAGGTTTTTAATACAGTATGTAAGTCCATTTTAATGATCATCGTGATAATCAAAGTTTTAGATCGAGTCCGGTTTTGGATAAATGTCGTACGTACATTTTGCAAAACCACGAATTTAAACCAAGACTGTTTCGTTGGCCGCGTAGTCGCAAGTGCGACAGCCAGGCAAGGGGTTTCGGGTTCGATTCCCAGGTCGGGCAATGTACTATTGGGTTTATAAGAAAAATCGTAATGTAGCATCGCCTATATCCTTTTTTAATAAATGCACTATTAATATAAAGAATTGTTCAAATTGGACCAGTAGTTTCGGAGAGAAAAAAAGAAATAAGAGAAAACCAATTAGAATTAAAAGCTAAAGCTCTAAATAGTAACATCATTAACTACCTTGACCGTCCCGTCATCAACACGTCCCATAATATAAGTCTTTTCCTCTTCACTAATAGTTTTATGGCGTGGTGGTGATGCTGCACCGAATATTGTCAGCACAGTGAACAGTCCCATGCATATTGCACCGACTGCCCAGAAGGTGGTTGGCCATCCCCATCTGGAGTCAGCCAAGTAGCCTGCCATCTGGAACGCTATCACAGTGCCTAGTGTGGACCCTGGAACGTAAATCAAAATGTTCTAGTGTGTCTTCTTAATGGCAATCAGAAATGATAAAATGATGACTGAAAATTGCGACTTTTTATTTTGGAAAGCATTTTAAGCAAAGTATGTACAAAATGCGAATTCATAACTACTGTTTGTATGGTCTAAACTTTTATTACCTGTAAATCTAGGCAATTAATTGAGGAGTGTAACGAAGTTAACTTTGTTAATGTGATTCCACTATTAGTAGCTACCAATATAGCTACATTATAACTTTATGATGGTGTAACACAACATAACATCACGACTTTTATCTTCGAAGGGATAGACAGAGGTGCACATTACGGCACTTAATGCCACTATACAATGAAACACCCACTTTTCACTGTTTATGTTATGAGTCCCATGTAATAGGGGGTGAGCCTATTGCTATATACTGGCTAAAATTCCATACTGTGTGCTACTACTGAGATTTTTTTTAAAAACCAGGAATATATTGCCCAATCCGGGAATCGAACCCGAGATCCCTTGCCAAGCAGTCGCACTTGCAACCACTCGGCCAACGAAGCAGTCATAATTTCACTAGTATTAGAATTGAAATTATGTGATATACAAATTATAGGAAAATTAAACGCAGTAATGATAACACGTAACCTACCCATTTGCTGTGTATTATCTTAGTATTAGATAAAATAAATTCTAAGTCTAACACACGAGTGGTGGAATGCCTAATTTTGTTTAATTCTCGGCACGTGTGTCTTATCTCTGTTGTAGCAAGTTTTGCTTTATTTACATTGTGACTATTGAATATTTGATTATTGTCTAACGACTCCTGTTACAATTGTTCTATGCAAGTAAGCCTTAATAATATTGGAAAATCAGCGCGACTGACATAGTATGTGTCATAGATATTAAGTAATATTGCTTGGGTGGTGTGAACAGACATGATCATTTCAAGCACGGGAGCATAGCAAAGCATGCTTCAATTGAGCACTTGGTACTTAGTAGCATGTGTTATATCGGAATATTGCTCAAAATTAGTATGCTACCTGTGATGCAGGTATACTTAAAATGATTATGTGACATACTTAAAACTAGCATGTCTACTGCTAGCAAATGTATACTGCTAATGCTTATTAGCATGCTCGTATTGAGCATACTTAATAGAACGCTTTCTAACATGGTGAATGACAAGGGCACGGACAAGAGTCCGTGGAGAAAAAGAAATCTAATATAAAAAAATAAAAAAAACGTGGTGTTTTAAAGCCTGCCCGTTGGCCAAGGGGGCCCAAGTGCGACTGCCGGGCTCTCGGGTTCGATTTCTGGATCGGGCAAATTATTACTGTTTGTTTTTTGTAAATTCTCAGGAGTTGCACGGAGTTTGGAATAGTGCCCAGCATATTATGGCAATAGGATCACCTTTACAACATGGGACTGATAGCATAAATAGTGAAAAGTGGGTGTTACATTGTACAGTGGCGTCAAGGATAAAAGGCGTGATGTTATTATCTTATTTTAAAGCATGTATTAACAGTACCTTTATTTAACAATATAATTTTTTATACTATAAACAATAAACATAAACAATCGCTACCGTGGGGAATTTCCGAACAAAGTAATTACTCATTTCTTAAGTGTATTGTATTTACAGTAAGTAGAAGATAAGCAGCGTACGTTACAAAATCAAAGAGAAATGTTATTTGCCAACCTGTGTACACGTAGCTGGTGAGGGCTCCGCGTTCATTCACTGGCACCCAGTTGGCCAGGAGGTTCTGAATACTTGGATACACACCAGCTTGGGCTAGACCTTGTAGAATACGGCAGGCACACACTGCCTTCCAACCGCCCTGAGAACATAAACACCGTTTAGTATATGACATGATTAAATATTGAAAAAAATGTATAATTACGTAAGTAAATATCATTTGCTGCACTGTTACAGTTGGCGCGATGGCTAGGCCACCGGTAGCGGGTTGAATTCCCGTACCGAGAAACTCCTTATGTAATCCACAAATTGTTGTTTCGGGTTTAGGTGTCATGTGTATGTGATATTATGTTTGTAAACACACCCACGACACAGGAGAAATCCTTACTAATATTATAAATCGGAAAGTGAGTTTGTTTGTTTGTTCTGCTTTCACGCCGTAACTACTAAACCGATTGCTTTGAAATTTTGCAGGCGTAAAGTTAGAAGTCCAGATTAAATCATAGGTACTTTTTATCCCGGAAAAATTGATATTTCCGAGGGAAAACAAAAGTATTGGTATAGATGGCGCTGTGTGTATTGGTATATGTCACATAGGCTACTTTTTATTCTTTTGTGGCGCGAGTAAAGCCGCCGGTAAAAGCTAGTAATACTATATATTATCTTCATCCTCATCCTTCAGTATGAATCTATTGACTTTCATCGTTTTTTTCTTAGATTTGTTCATTTCTCGTGTTGTTGCAAGTATGACTGCTTACCAGGAGGGTTCGATTCCTGACACAGTAATATTTATTTTCGAGTTTTTTTGAAAATTTCAATTAAATATTACAGTATTACCAAGTACCTATTGTAGTTAAATTACGTACCCAGTCAATGACCCACGGTGCTAATATAGATGCTACTCCATTGACAAACAAGGCGATTTGCAGCGGTATCTTGCCTCCCCACCGCTGGACTACCATTCCCATCGGAAAAGTCATGATGCAGTAACCTAAGAAAAATGATCCTAACACCATTTCTTGTATTGACTTTGGCCAGATATATTTCTGGAAACAAAATATTACGTTTTTTTTTTTATATTTGGAATAAAAAAACTAGGAATAGGAAATTAAACAGGTAGCAGTTTGGCGATTTTTGTATATTTAATAATAATGTATATATTTATGAGAATAAATAAATAAATTAAAAAAAAAATTAGGTTTACCGGCTCACTCGTGTTTGACCGTTCGAAGATGCTGCTCATAAATGTGAACCCCAAGCGTTGCTTGAAACTAGTCGAGATCCTCGTCAAACAGTTGCATGAATAAGTGGGTAAACCTAACAATTAAGTTAGTTTATCTGACGAGAATAATACAGGAAAACTTACTTTATGATGGTAGTCAGCAGTGGTATCATTGACTACATGAATTTTTTTATAATCTTCATTTAAATTGTTAATATCTTCTATCGTAGAATTAATTTCAATCGCTTCTTGAATATTTGTAACATTACCAACATCTGTTTGTACTGTAATGTTATTAACTGATAGTGATCCGTTTTCAGTGGGAGTATCACTCATAGCTACAATTGTGACCCCCATGTGACCTCTAGCTATGAAGCTAACTAATATACATAGAAAGCATATCAAAAGTTGAACATGTCTGACTCCGTATCCATAATGTGTGGGGATTTCTTGCTTTGCTGTAATAGAAATTAATTATAGTTGTAGCACGGAGTCTGGAATTGTGCCCAGTATATGGCAATAGGCTCACCCCTTAATACATGGGTCTCATAACATAATAGAAAGTAAAAAGCCGGTGTTACATTGCTGTGGCATTAAGCGCCGTAATGTGCATCTCTGCTTACCCCTTCAGGGATAAAAGGCGTGATGTTCTGTTCTGTGATCGATAGTGATGATGTACTTCCAAGTGGGAGAGCCATGTTTAGGTAGAAAAGGGCCATAAACTGGTGTCAAGGTATCACGCTGGCTCACTGTAATTGCCATGAAACAGATCTTGCATCATGCCTGACCCCGTGAGTGACGTTACTACAGGCTTTACACTTCGCCAAAACGCACTTTTTACTTTTCTGGTGTTGCGGGATTCGTGGTCGGCGCCAATTGCTTACCTTTAGGTAATCAGTCTGGTCGTTTACCGCCCACTATCTCAAATATTATCTTCGACTATAGTCACTATTCTTAATAGCATTAAGGACCAATATTTTCTTAAAAGATATTATTTTCATCAGTTACTACAATTAATATTCATAAATAAAGAACAAGCGCTTACCTTCCAGGATTTGTTTTGTAGGAACTTTGCTGTATTCATAGTTAGGCAACGTTTCATCTTTCCCCATTTTGTATGTATTTGTGTGTGTCTGTCCACGGACACACGTATCACTAGCTACTGAATGAAGTTACAGTTGAAGTGACGATTGCAATAATAACATAACATATATAATAATTATTACAGCAAAATCATTGTTCGCTACAATGGTGCGATGGGCAAAGATTATTAAATTAAACAGACGATAAATTTTGCTACAATAATGTATTTGATAAAACTTTTTGTATGCACAATATTAGGATTTGTTAATACCAAACATTCAGAATTGTTAAAAAGAGTAATTTCATCATATACGAATTCCAATCTGTGGAATAAATTTATGCCAATATTTTCCTCACTTATTTTAACCTTAATATTAACAGATCATAAATGCTTTTATTAAATTATTTAGCCTATTAGCGACACGTGAATGGTTTGATATTGTATGTACAATTCAATTCCCCTATACTTATTATACTCTTTGATTCAATTGTCCAAAAATACGTCAAACTAACTGGGTTTGACGTTTCCATGGGCGTCTATGAGCGGCATTGATTAAATGGCGTGCGGCAATGGATAACCATTTATTGTAATCCACCTGCTTGTATGCTAACCTATTTTGCAAAAAAAATATAAAAACATGCTGACTGACTCGTGGGCCAACTGATCATAAGTGTGACGGCCGGACAAGGGGTCTCTGGTTCTGTTTCCGGGGCGGGCCAGTACCCGGCATATGACAATAGGCTCACTCCCTATTACATGGGACTCATAATATAAATAGTGAAAAGTAGGTGTAGTATTATTCAGTGGCATTAAATGCTGTAATGTGTACCTCTGCCTACCCCATCAGGGATAAAAGGCGTTATGTTATGGATATTTTAAAGAGAGAGTACGTCGGAAAAAATAACCAGTAATCGATTATATAATAAAATGTCGAGTCTGTTTCGAGACAATCAATGACAAGGTGGTATCTTATCTAAGTTAAATTTGACTACCTGAACAGCGGGCCTTATTTGAAGTGTAATAAACTTTCAAGATAACACCTTTTCACCAAATACTCAGTCCCGAGGTGTCGTTCTATGACTATGTAGGTACTATTAACAAGGAAAAGCTTTATTTAAATATATGTAGGCACAAATAGTTGTTTACATTGTAAATAGTTTATTGCGAATTCAGCACTAGTATTAATCTATGTGTTTGTACAAGCAGCCCAGGTAATAAATCATTCATTTTTGGCTTTATGAAGCGAATCAGTTCCGTAAATAATTATGTAGAAGAATTTTATCCTACACTTCCTATTATTTTATTTTTAAAACAACATAGAATGATATAGGCAGTCATGCTTACTATATTTAGACATTTTGATAAAGTGCCATAAAGACAAACAGGAGTGTTTGCATTTGCTCTAAGTATTTAATGTTACAAAGATTATTTTGTTATTTTTACTAACACTTGTCAAATATTTTTTCAAGCGAAATGGCGCAAAACCTAATATAATTATGCGACACCATGAAATAGAGTTGGCAGTCTTTTTATCATTATTTTAAGTTGTTGTGTCTGACGGAATGTTTTCACACAATTTGAGGACTAACATTAGTATTCAAGAAGTGTTCATAAACTATGGTTAATGTGAGAAATTCAAAGTTATTTACTCTAGTACCGTAATTGTTGGTCGGCCTAATGGGATTACTATTTTGACAAAATATTTGGAACAATATGTCGTGTAACACGAACTATTTGCAACAGCTGAACAATATAGCCATATTTGGGTACGACTGGGCCGGCTTGATAGAAGTGATACCACGGCTGATCAGGAAATAATGCTTGCGCTTTGATTTGCCGTGTGAATGAGTGAGGTTACCGGAGGCCCAATTGCTCCGCTCGCCAATCCTTCAATCCCCAAATCCCTAATCCCCATACCCTTAACCTATGTACTATATACTTATTACCATCAGATGATCCGTCTGCTCGTTTGCTGGCTTATCCAATAAAAACAAATATTACACTATTGACCGCCATATTGGATAGAGAATTTGATCCCTAGCACTTTACTCGCGCTCGACAATCAAGCGCTTTGTCCAATAAAACGTATTTCCACACAAAGCAAACACTATGTCGGATTTCAATCATTTGTATTAATTGGAAAAAATATCAGTTAACATTCCCACGAATTGAATTATTGACTCTTATTTGATGGATGTTTACCTCGATCAATGCATGTGTAATCTTCATAAGGCATACTTAATTCTGTTTTTGTCCGTTTATAATATACGTACATATTTGTTAGAATGTTCAG